GCTTGTGCAGAAACTTGGCCACCACCTCGGCTCCAAAGGTGAAAGAGACACCACGGTCGTTCTCGCCCCAGCCCTGCACGTCCTTGTCAGGGTCAGACCACAACAGGTCACACAGCAGGCCCTGGTCAGGCACATCTGTGGGCCGCATGATACGCCGGATCTGCTCCATGGATTGCAGGTCTGGGGACAAGCCTGGGGGACCGGGGGAAGTCCATATCCTCAAACAAGGACATCCTCACTCCAGAAAGCCGTGGCCAATCAGCCTCACCTTTCCCACCACCCCCTTGGTCCCTCCACAGGTCTGGGCACCCAGGCAGGCAGAAGTCATCCCCTTCCCCTCAGCTTTTGCAGGCTCCCAAAAAGGCACAAAGATGTCCCCACCCTCAGGAGCGCAGAGCTCAATGTAGAGCTCCCGGGAGATAGACAAGCCAAGCCCATTCCATGTAGGACGCACAAGGGAGTGAGCACAGCCCAGCACAGGGGTATGGGAGACACTTCCCAGAAGGAGTGACTTCCCAAATGAGACAGACCAAAGGAGAGCTGGCCCGGCAATGAGGGATGCGGCCAGGTCTCCTCGTCCCCAACCGTCCCCTCCCTCACCTCCGTGGCAGCAGAAGATCTTTTCATCCACGATGGCTGCGATGGGCAGGCAGTTAAAGCAGTCGGTGAAAGTTTTCCACAGTTTGATGTTGTAGCGTCTCTTGCCTGCCCAGGAGATGGCTGTGAGGGGCCTGCCTACCCCACCCTCAACCGGGGTCCCTGGGCTATTCAGATGCAGATGGGAGGAGAGAGGCACCAGGCAAACCACCCCTGCCCCTGCAGCCTATCAGCCTTCCAGGAACAATTCTCTTTACTTTTAATTTTTAATTAAAATAAACAGGGTCTTGCTCTGTCACCCAGGGTCAGCTGGAGTGCAGTGGCGAGATCATAGCTCACTAACTTGGAGCTCCTGGGTCCAAGTGATCTTCCCGCCTCGGCCTACTGCCAGACTTAATTCTAAAACACCCAAGTCCACTGGAAACTGAGTTCCAATCTGGACCAGCCTCAGGGCTGGCACTCCCCGCACACCCCCACCCATGAGCTGGGCCAAGTACAGGTCTGGTTTATCTCAGCTTCCGGACAGCAGAGCCCATCTGCAAACACATCCTAAGTGCTTAGTAACAAATGTAAGGGGAGCCTCACCAGGCAGGGGCCCTGGGAGCAAGCACCAGAATACCAGCAGCCTTCCAGTCGGCAACCATGCCCCCAGACCCCGTGCCAGGAGGGGCAGGGCAGTGAGAATGGACTGGGCCCTGCTTTCGAGGAGCGCACAGTCTAGCAAGTGTCTGTCAGATATGAGGCCAATGTGAGGGTCCCACTGAATAGCAAGGAGTGTTTCACGACCCGGGCAACCCTGGATGCTCAGACCACTCACACTCATCATAGAAACCATAGATGCGGTTGATGCTGGCACACTCGTGGTTCCCACGGAGCAGGAAGAAGTTCTCAGGGTACTTGATCTTGTAGGCCAGCAGCAGGCAGATGGTCTCCAAGGACTGCTTGCCCCTGTCCACATAGTCCCCCAGAAAGAGGTAGTTGCTCTCCGGAGGGAAGCCCCCATACTCAAATAGTCGCAGAAGGTCGTAGTACTGGCCGTGGATGTCACCTGTGACCCAGGGAACCGAGTAAGCTAGATGCTGGGTCTAGACTTGAACCCAGGGCCAGGACTAGGCTCAAGGGAGGAGGGCACCAGGAACTTTGTGGGGTCCAGTGCCACTTTTAGGAAGCCAAAGAGGCCTGGACAGGGGGTGGTGGGGGGGTGCTCACCGCAGATCTTGAGGGGTGCCTCCAGCTCCAGAAGAATGGGCTGGCTCAGGAAAATCTCCCGGGATTTCAGGCACAGACCGCGGATCTCGTTCTCTGTCAGCTGTACATTCTTGCCAGGCCGCGAGCCCTGCACTGGGGGCGCAATGCGGAGTCAGGACCCTGGCCCCTCAGACAGGAGGAGGGTGGGCGACATGGTGGCCCCATGGATACCTCCGGGGGCGCCTAGGCCTCCTCGGCCCCTCCTTGCCCAGAGGCAGCTGTTGCTGCTGAGCCTCCTGGGACGTCGGCCTCAAGCCTCCCAAGGGAAGCCCCCTTAGCTATCCTCAGAGCCTCGGGAGGCGACTGTCGTGCGCAGGGGGCTGCCGCCCAAAACCTCATAGCGCAGGACACCTTGCTGGACCGGGCTTCCCGGGTTTCTCCCTCGCCCCAAGAGCCCAGGCAACCCGTGAGCCCCCGGCAGGGGAGAGGGGGCTGCTCCGCGCCTCGAAGCTGGCCCCGGACCTCTCAGGCGCGTCCGCGGGGGGGCGGCTGCGGCCACGGAACCTCGCGGTGCGTCCCCGCCCAGTCTAAGGTGGCCCCGGGAGCCCGCCCGCGCGCCACTTCCGGGCCAGGCAGGGGTCCAGGGCGCGGCGGACGCGGACCTTCCCCACCCCGGCCAACCTTCCAGCAGGCGCCCGATGATAGAGTCCAGGTTGAGCTTCTCGCTGTCGGACATGGCGGCGCCGCCGCTCCAGCCCAGCAGCTCCGGGCCCGCTCCCGTCTCCCGCCCTCCGGCAGCCTCCTTCCGGCCTGGCTCTCCTTCCGCCCGCCCCAGTCCGCCCCCGGCCCGCCGCTCCGCCTCCGGGCCTCCCGGGCCCGCCCCGCCCGACCCCCCCGCGCTCTAGCGCCCCCGCTGGACGTGAGGCGCGGAGGCCCAGGGGGCGGGGGGGCGGTGCTAGAGGCTCAGGGGGCGGGGCCTCGGCGGCAGGCTGGGGGCGGGGTCTGTCGGGGGCGGGGCCGAGGCTGATTACGCCCGAGAGGAGGCGCCCAGCTCCGTTCTGAGGATGTGGGGCCGGAAGAACCGTGGAAGTTGTTTTTCTCTTTCAAAAGCTGAACAGCCGTTCCCACCCCTGCTCTGGGTGGAGGGTGTCGTGAACACGTTAATAACCGGCTGCCCCGCACTGAGGGTTAACTTCTCCAAATGCAGAAAGGGAAACTGAGGCTTAAGAGATAGCAACAGGCTGGTTCAAGACCTGGACCTCACTTTCACGGACGACCCCCTTCCTCGTGGGTCTCTGTGGCCCCCAGGCGGCTGACCACACTCAAAGACAGCTAGAATTCCCAGCGCACTTTGGTCCTTGGGGCATGCTAAATTAATATTTTCTTACAAGTCCCATAATTAGCTTTTTTTTTTGAGGCAGTTTTGCTCTGTCCCACAGGCTGGAAGGCAGTGGCGCGACCTTGGCTTACTGCAACCTTCCCCTCCTGGGTTCAAGATTGTCATGCCTCAGCCTCCAGAGTAACAGGGACTACAGGCGGAGGTCACCGCGCCCGCTAATTTTTGTATTATTTTTGTATTTTTTTTTTTTTTTTGAGACGGAGTTTCGCTCTTGTTACCCAGGCTGGAGTGCAATGGCGCGATCTCGGCTCACCGCAACCTCCGCCTCCTGGGTTCAGGCAATTCTCCTGCCTCAGCCTCCTGAGCAGCTGGGATTACAGGCACGCGCCACCATGCCCAGCTAATTTTTTGTATTTTTAGTAGAGACGGGGTTTCACCATGTTGACCAGGATGGTCTTGATCTCTCGATTTCGTGATCCACCCGCCTCGGCCTCCCAAAGTGCTGGGATTACAGGCTTGAGCCACCGCGCCCGGCCCAATTTTTGTATTTTTATTAGAGGGTGGGTTTCCATGTTAGCCAGGCTGGGATTACAGGCGTGAGCCACCACACCTGGCCCCATAATAAGCTTCGAGTAGCACAGTAATATTGCAGGGTGTGCACGTAAAAAGAATTATTTTATAAAGAGTAGACATTAAATGAACCATAATTATTGTTGGAACCCTGAGTTGGGTGCTTTACACACCAGTAACCTCAAAACTGGAGGTGGGCTGGCCATCGTGGCTCAGGCCTATAATTCCAGCATTTTGGGAGGCTGAGGCAGGATGATCTCTTGCGCCCAGCCTGGGCAACATGGCGAAACCTCATCTCAACAAAAAACACAAAAATTGGCCAGGCACCGTGACTTACCCTGTAATCCCAGCACTTTGGGAGGTTAAGGCAGGCAGATCATGAGGTCAGGAGATCGAGACCATCCTGGCTAACACAGTGAAACCCTGTCTCTACTAAAAATACAAAAACTTAGCTGGGCGTGGTGGTACATGCCTGTGGTTCCAGCTACTCCAGGAGGCTGAGGCAGGAGAATCACTTGAACCGGGAGGCAGAGGTTGCAGTGAGCTGAGATGGCGCCACTGCACTCCAGCCTGGGTGACAGAGAGAGACAACATATCAAAAAAAAAAAAAAAATTATGCTCACTTCGGCAGCACATATACTAAAATTGGAACGATACAGAGAAGATTAGCATGGCCCCTGCACAAGGATGACACGCAAATTCGTGAAGCGTTCCATATTTATTAAAAAAAAAAAATTAGCTGGGCATGGTGGTGCACGCCTGCAGTCCCAGCTACCAGGGAGGCTGAGGCAGGAGGATCTCTTGAGACCAGAAGGTGGAGGCTGCAGTGAGCCCAGATCATGCCATTACACTCCAGCCAGGGTAACAGTGAGACCCTCTCTCAAAAAAAGAAACGTAAAGGCCAGGCGTGGTGGCTCATGCCTGTAATCCCAGCACTTTGGGAGGCTGAAGCAGGTAGATTATTTGAGGTCAGGATTTTGAGACTAGCCTGGCCAACATGGCAAAACCCCATCTCTACTAAAAATACAAAAATTAGCCAGGCATGGTGGCATGCCTGTAATTCCAGCTACTTGGGAGGCTGAGGTAGGAGAATCACTTGAACCAGGAGGCGGAGGTTGCAGTGAGCTGAGATCGCGCCATTGCACTCAAGCCTGGACAATAGAGCAAGACTTTGCCTCAAAACAAACAAACGAACTGGAGGTGGCATGGCCTCCTCATCTGGCAGGCCTGGGTTCTACACACCCGGCGTAGGAACTCAAGCCTGTAGATTGGGGAGGGTGGGAGGAGCCCACAGCTCAGGGGCACTGGGGCAGGCAGGAAGAGTCACAGAGAGGAAGGGGTGACACCTCCCCACACTTGGGAGGGGCCCCCAGCGGTTGCCAAAGCTATGTGAGGAGGAGGAAGTGAGAGGAGGTGAGGTGCTGCCGGAGGTGAGCTGGGCTGGCGGGGACAGGGGCTGGGCCTGGGGATGGGTCTCCAGACAGAGGCCTGGCTTTTCTGTCAGTGTGGGGCCTAGCCCCCGCCCCCATAAAAGAGGAGACATGGGGGGCTTGGTGAGATACCCTGAAATCTCTCAGCTCTGACCCCGCAGCCAGGCCCCAGGCTGGCCAGAGTGGTCCCTCACACTGGTTCTCCCCACATTCTCTGCCTGTGGCATTGAAGGCTCAGGGCACCATGGCCCAGGCCCTGGGGGAGGATCTGGTGCAGTCGCCCGAGCTGCAGGATGACTCCAGCTCTTTGGGGTCGGACTCAGAACTCAGCGGGCCTGGCCCATATCGCCAGGCCGACCGCTATGGATTCATTGGGGGCAGTTCGGCAGAGCGAGGGTAAGGGGGCAGGGGGAGGGATGGTGGGGTACTGGGACAGAGGATGCTGGGGGAGGGCTGAATTCTGGAGTGAAGCCTGACTCAGGGAGGTTGGGAGGGTCTGGTGGGAGGCACTGGGAGGGGACTCAGCCAGTATCACCCCTCTGCAGGCTCCAGGTGGAACCTAAGGTGGGAAGGGTGGGGGGAGGCCTCTGTGTATCTCTTACCCCCAACCTCTGAGGGTTTCACTCACCGCTGGGGCAGAACATCCTTCCCCTTTGAACCTCTGGCCCAGGAATCCCAGATCCAAATCCCAGAACCCACACCTCCTTCCGCCTTTCCCCAAGCTGCAGACAGAAACACAAGTTCAGATTTATACAGAAACTTGTCCCAGATCACACAGGGGACCAGAGACAGACCCAGACAAACTCCGGACTCCGGGCTTCCAGTCCAGGGCTCTCTGCAGCCAGCTTCCCCTATGAATTGTCTGCGTCCCTGTCCTGGGTGACAGTCAGCCCGCCCCTCCCCCAACACACACCCACTCACCTCTTTAGTCTCCTGCTTCTGCCCACATCGGATCCACATCCTTTTCTGTCCCCGTGACAAGCATTAGCAGCTCCCGGGTCACAGGTCATCCCACAGGGCTCCCAGAGATCCCTGGGGCCAGGAGCTGGGCTCACCTGGGTAGCCTGAAGGGTGGCAGCATGGGCCCTGGGTAACAGCTGCCGAGCTCCTGGATACCTGTGTCACGCACCCCCAGGCCGGGCCACGCCCCTGCAGACCTCATCCGCCAACGGGAGATGAAGTGGGTGGAGATGACCTCTCACTGGGAGAAAACCATGTCCCGGAGGTACAAGAAGGTGAGAGGGCAGGGGCCCCACCCTGGCCTCCATGGCTCATTCCTCTCCACCTGGGCCCACATCTTGGCAAAATGTACCCACCCTGGGTCCCAGCGCCTCCTGCCTTTGCTCCCTGCCACCCAAAGTGGGCCCCTGCCTGCTGATGAGCTGTGCCTGGGGCCTGCCAGCGGGAGCTAGGGAGGTTGCCCAGCGAAGCCCTCGGCCTCGCCCACAGGTGAAGATGCAGTGCCGGAAAGGTATCCCATCTGCCCTGCGTGCCCGGTGCTGGCCCCTGTTGTGCGGGGCCCACGTATGCCAAAAGAACAACCCTGGCACCTATCAGGTGAGGGAGTGGGCAGGGGCCCCAGCTCCCTTACCCAGAGCATGCACCACACCGAACCCTCGCACCCACCTTCCCGGCTACCCACAGGAGCTGGCAGAGGCCCCTGGAGACCCACAGTGGATGGAGACCATTGGCAGGGACCTGCACCGCCAGTTCCCCCTGCATGAGATGTTTGTGTCACCCCAGGGCCACGGGTACGAGGCTGGTGATGCCCGGGGACCCCCAGCCCCATGAGCCCCAAGTGCTCTGGCCCACTTTCCCCAGCCCAGCTCTACAGTTTTGCATCTCAGGGGACCCAGCAAGGCCCAGGGAGGCTGAGGCCTGGGCAGAGGCCACCAGAGGGCGGAGAAGGGGTGCCTGCAGGACTGGCCCCTTATGGAGTCTTCTGGCACAGGCAGCAGGGGCTCCTGCAGGTGCTCAAGGCCTACACCCTGTATCGACCGGAGCAGGGCTACTGCCAGGCCCAGGGGCCCGTGGCTGCTGTGCTGCTCATGCATCTGCCCCCGGAGGTGAGTGACCTTGACCTTGCTCTGGGAACCCTAGTGACCTAGGCCCAGGGAACCCCAACCCCAGGAACTGTGGCCTCAGAAAGCTGGGATCCTTGATCCCTAGACCCTGTCCTAGTGACCAGGGCCTCATGACTGCCAACCTCAGTGACCTTCAAGCCTAATGACCTTGACTCCAGGAACCTTGACTTCAGCCTTAACCCTAGTCATCTAGGAGTCTGGATGTCATCACCTTGACCCCACAACTCCTGATTCTGAACTTAGGGAGTGTGACCCCAACCCCAATGACCCCAGAAACCCGCGACTTGAACTTTGGGATACTCCCAAACCTTGGCCAGTGAACCCCAACTCTCATCCTCAAATCTGTGACTTCCAACACCCTAAACCCATTGTCAGGCCCTGTCCTGGGCAGAGGAGGGGGCTTTTGGCAAGGGCTCCCCCGGAGCTGAGCAGGTTAGGAGTGGCCCTGAACCCACTGTGGTGCCCAGGCCCTCCCCTTCAGTCTTTCCCCCATCCTGCCTTCCTCTCTGCGGTGCCTTCCTTGGTAGGCACTTATAGGCCTGTGCCCTGCCCCTTCCCCAGGAGGCCTTCTGGTGCCTGGTGCAAATCTGTGAGGTCTACCTCCCTGGCTACTATGGGCCCCACATGGTGAGAGGCTGGCATGGGGGCTGGAGGAAGGAGGGGCAGGGGCCTGGTGAGTGGGTGGGGTTGGGGGACTGAGGGAGGCAGAGCCTGGGCTCTGGGAGTGGCAGTGCTGGCCAGCTGATGGACATGCCACAGGAGGCTGTGCGGCTGGACGCCGAGGTGTTCATGGCTCTGCTGCGGCGGCTGCTCCCGCACGTGCACAAGCACCTGCAGCAGGTGGGCGTCGGGCCCCTGCTCTACCTGCCAGAGTGGTTCCTGTGCCTCTTTGCCCGCTCCCTGCCCTTCCCCACAGTGCTGCGTGTCTGGGATGCCTTCCTCAGTGAAGGTGAGTGGGGCAGCAAGGGGCTGGGGCAGGAGCCTTGGGGTGTGGGTGGGGAGGTAGCTCACCAGCCCCAGGGTTCCCTTCTGGGGACTTGAATCATGGGATTGGGTGTACCGAAGGTGATGACCTGGTGCCTGGAGATACATCACCCATCACCCATCACCCATCACCCAGGCACCGCCTGGTGCTGAGCTGAGCCAGGGAGGCTTCCAGGGAGGCAGATGAAGCAGGAAGTGGGCGATCACAGCCCGTGGAGGCCTCAGCGGCTCAGGGACAGGCACCTCCTGGGCACTTACTGGCTCCAGACGTGGATCTGCAGCTGGGAATCAAGTGATCGAGACCTTCATTCTGGCGGGGGTGGGGGTGGGTGGCGACAGTAACCAAATTCACAAGATATTTATAGATCGTCAGAAGTGCCATGAATAAAATAAAATGAGGGATATGACAGGGAGTGTCAGGGGAGTGCAGGGGTGATGGTTGCATTTCAGCTGCTTCTGGCTGCTCTGTGCGGAGGGAGGACTCACAGGGGTCTCTGTGGAGGCCTGGGGCCAGGAAAGCCACTGTCCCCAGGGACCAGGCTACAGTCAATGAAGGAGAGAGGGCTTGGAGCTGTGAAGCCAGAGAGGGGGACGCTGGGGGCCAGGCCAAGAGCGGGAAGGGAGTCAGGGCAGAGCCAAGCTGGACTATCTGTGTCTTTCGGACTTCGCCTTAATACCGCCATCAGTAACCCACCTGCATTCTGTTCTTTTTTTTTGTTTTGAGATGGAGTCTCACTCTGTCACCATGCTGGAGTGCAGTGGTTCGATCTCAGTTCACTACATCCTCTGCCTCCCGGGTTTGAGATTCTCCTGCCTCAGTCTCCCGAGTAGCTGGGACTACAAGTGCATGCCACCACGCCCAGCTAATTTTTGCATTTTTAGTAGAGATGGGATTTCACCATGTTGGCCAGGATGGTCTTGATCTCTTGGCTTCATGAACTGCCTGCCTCAGTCTCCCAAAGTGCTGGGATTACAGGCCTAAGTCACCGTGCCTGGCCCCTGCATTCTGTTCTATACGTGAGGCCTGGAGGTTGCACCTTAAAAAACGTGGTAGAAATCAGTCAGCACGCATATTAAGTGTCTGTCGTGTGCTCAGCTGGCTTCCTGCCCTCCACCCAGTGGGAGGACCATTGGCTGGCTTAGAGTTCTGGCAACAGACGTCCAAGTCGCTATCTTTGTGGTCACTCCCCGAACAGGGCTAGGCAGAGCTGGGCAGGGCATGACCTGTCCACCTACAGGCAAACACTGCACAGACTCCCTTATCAGAAGGACGATGGCATGTGATTGTTCCTCGGCAGTCACTGTCCTCACTCAGCCTGGCTGGCGCCCTGGTAGCTCTTCTCAGATCAGAGGCTGCCAGTCAGGGATTTTGAGGCTTCAGGACCAGCCCAAGGTCACATGTGTGGGGAGCGCTATGCTCCTGGCTTAGGGGAAAGCAGTTCTGCCTAGGTCTTTCTAGAATCAGAGGGTCGCAGATCCAAGCTGGAAAGGTCTTAAAGGGCACCACCTCACCTTTCCTTGTTCCTTGTGGAGATGAGCAAGCTGGGGCCCAGGGAGGGCTTGGTGTGAACTTACCAGGAGCCCCTGGCTCCTGGCAGGAAGCTGGTGGCTTGGTGGGGGCGGGAGCATTGAGGTGTGGGTGGGGAACTAGCTCACCAGCTCTGGGGTTCCCTTTTGGAGCCTCAAGTCATGGGCCCAGGTGTGCTGAAGGTGATGGCCCTGTGCCTGGTGGCACATCACCTGTCACCCAGATGCCGCCTGGGGCAGAAGCTGGGTGATCACAGCACGTGGCAGCCCTACCGGCTTAGGGAGGGGAGGAGGCGCTTCTCCCCGGAGCTCACAGGCACCTACCAGGCGCTCACTGGCTCCAGATGTGGATCTGGCATCTGAGAATCAAGTGATGGAGACCTTCATTCTGGTGGTGGCGGGGATGGGAGGTGCCAGTAACCAAATTCGAAAGATATTAACTCTGCCCCAAAGCATCAGTAGCTCTTGAGGCTAACTTGGCCAGTGCTGCGGCCTGTGTCACCTGAAATGTAACCCCACCTTCTGTTATTGCTCCTGAACTGGGGAGGGCAGAGTTGCAGGGGAGTGGCAGATGTATGGCTGAGAGCAGGTTTGGGTGCAGAACTGTGGAGTGAGCCAGCCCCTGGCCCGCAGGTGCCAAAGTGCTGTTCCGTGTGGGGCTGACGCTGGTGCGCCTGGCGCTGGGCACTGCAGAGCAGCGCAGGGCCTGCCCTGGCCTCCTGGAGACACTGGGAGCCCTTCGAGCCATCTCCCCCACACAGCTGCAGGAGGAGGTCTTCATGTCTCAGGTGGGTGCCTCCGCCTCTCTGAGAACTGGCCCAGCCCCTGCTGCACAGGGGAAACTGAGTCCCAGGGCAGGAAGCCAAAGTGAGAATGGGGGCTTAGTTCCTGTCCCCTGAGCGGCCGAGAACATGAAAACCCCCAGGCCTCCAGTGGCTTTCTATGGCCCCCCGGCGAGGCTGCCTGTCAGCCCCTCAGCCCTCAGCCACTTCCGGGGCTGGGAACCTCACAGTTTCCTGTTTCTGCCCTGAGGCCGGCCAAACTCAGCACCAATAGTTCCCCACAGGTGCACAGCGTGGTGCTGTCGGAGCGGGACCTGCAGCGGGAAATCAAGGCCCAGCTGGCCCAGCTGCCCGATTCTGCACCGGGGCCCCCGCCCCGGCCACAGGCCCGCCTCGCCGGGGCCCAAGCCATCTTCGAGGCCCAGCAGCTGGCAGGGGTGCAACGAGGTGCCAAGCCTGAGGTGCCTCGGATTGTAGTGCAGCCCCCGGAGGAGCCCAGACCACCACGGCGGAAACCCCAGACCCGAGGCAAGACTTTCCATGGGCTCCTGACCCGGGCCCGGGGCCCCCCCCTCGAAGGACCCCCCAGACCCCAACGAAGCTCCACCTCCTTCCTGGATACCCGCTTCTGAGAGGACGATGGACTCAGTTTCCCCCAGGCTCGATCACCTGGTGGCTGATACCCAGTCCTGCACTTTACTCTTGGGACCTGGGGACTCAGCTTCCTTCCTGGCAAGGACTAGGCGGAGGAGGAGGAGGAGGTCCTCTGTGGTACATACTGGGTGAGGCACTAGCATGGAAGGGGGTCCCAGAGTGGGGCACGTGAGGACCGATGGAGCCATCCTGGTGCCCAGGCCCTCACAAGTACCAAAGCCAGCACTGAACAAGTCAGGGAAGGGGTTGGCTGGGCCAAGGGACCCCAGAGAGCTCCAGGAATAAAATCTTGAACAGATGCCTCAGATGGTGCTGGATAAAATGCCCTCCTCCAGACTCCAACAGGCAGCCCCTTCCCCTCCTCCCTCACCTGCCCCCTCCCAGCTTCGCCCTCTCCTGGTCCTACCCTGGTCCCACCCTGGGGACATACCGAGGCTGCCCACTGGCTGCTGGGGAAGGTGTTTACAGTAGTAAGAGCCAATTGAAAGTCACCCTCCCCCAGCCTCTGGGGACAGGAATGGCTTTTGCACCTGTAGAAGGAGGGCGCCCCATGGATGGTGAGCCCAGGGGCTCTACCCCTTCTTTTGCCCTCCATTCCCTCCCTCCAGGGTGGTTCAGGACTCTCTGGGATGGGGGACTCTAACCCAAGTCCTCCCCGCACCCGTGGTCCTGGTCACATCTGTCAAAGGGACCCAGGCAGAACAAAGGCCCAGTGTGCCTCGGACAAAGGAGAAAGGTCCCGCCGGCCCTCACCCCTCCCAGAGCCCTGTGTCTGCCCCCTCGGGACCGCCACCATGGAAACCCCCTCCTACACTCACTAATTGCCCCCGTGGGTGCCCAGGACCTGAGCCATCGCCAGGGCAACGGGGCTGGTTCCCAAGTGCCCTCCCCTCTGTGGGGAACACAGCAGGACTCCATATGGACAGGAGGCATCTGCTGGCCCAGGCTCCAGGGCTGGCCATCGGATGGGGTGTCAGTGGAGTCACCTGTCAGACTCTGGGTTTGCAATGTTCTTGCGACAGGGCCACAGGCTCTGTCTGTGTGGCAAGTGCCAGGCCCTGGGTCCCTGGAAGAGGGAATCATGGTGGCCTAGACCCTTATCTGTCATATCTCTGGGGGAAACTGAGGTTCAGGGGGAGCAGGAACTTGCAGATAGCCTTACTGTCCATGGCAGTCCTTCCAAGGTTTACCCCTGCCCCGACCACTGGCAGCTCCCCACTGGGCAGCCCCCTGGGGAGGGGTGCTTTCTCCTGCTCCTTCCCCCCACCCCCAATGCTGCACCAGCCTTCCAGTGTGTAGACAAGGCAGCAGCAGGACTCCTGTGAGTTAGCGCTCCAGAGCCTTCCTCCGCCCACTCCTCATCCCATCCTTTTTTTTTTTTTCAGTTAAACTCCTCTGATATTTATTGAATTGTGAACAGCTGCAAACTTTGCCACAGTCAGACACTCACCATTGGGGTGCCTGCAACTTATTAATAACCCCCTTACCTATAATTTACAAAACCCTTTCCCAGAACCCCCCCCAACCAGGCCCTCTCTCTGCACGTAGCCCCTGATATCCCTGTTACAGACACACAGGATCAGTGAGGCCAGGGACCTCACCCAGCCCCACAGTGAAAGGCAGAGCTGGCTGGAGTGCAGAGGTAAGGCTTTGTGCTTTGTAGACTATGCCTTAGTCTTAGACAGGGAGTCTCTTAGTGGAATCTCGGGCACTGTAGCAGGCAGGGTGGCGGGGTACGGGAGCACTTGTCCCTGAAGTCCACTTGGGATCTCCCCACCCTCCACAGGTTCAGCTCGTCTCCTGGGAGAATAGGGGAGCAAGGTGCAGCAGCCTCAGCCCTGGGTCAAGGGTCTGTCATGAACCTGCAGGGGCACGGTGGCAGTGGCTCACTCTGGACACTGACCCTAGGAGCAGGTGTTCTCCAGCAGGGTCCCTCTAGCTGGGGCTCAGTCACTGCCTTTCCTACTCAGGAGACTGTTTTCTGGACAGCCCAGCTGTAGGTTTCCTTATCAGTCCTCTGCACAAGAGCCCTGACTCACGGGTCAGACAGAAGAGAACCGGTGCTCTCCTGGTGTGAACCCTCAAAAGAATGCATTCCCACAGGCCCTCCTCGGCAGGGCTGCACCGGCCCCCACAGCACCTTTTTGCTAGCTGGGGAAATATGTCTCTCCTCCAGGCAACATGCAGCCTCATCACAGTGCACGGTGCAGCAGAGTGGGGAGGGATCTCTCACCCAGGTGCCTTTGTGCAGTGAGCAACCTACACAACCATACTCAGGGAACCTAGAAATGCCCTAAAGGCCTGCCTGGAAAGGGGCTCAGAGAAGGGAAGTGATGCATCTGAGAGCACTCACCATGTGGGGACTAGTGCTGGGAGGGCCCTTGGGATGTCTGTCAGCTTAAGAGTGGGGCATGCAGCATGGACATGAGTGGGGGCATGCAAAGGAGTGAGGGGGCAAATGGGTGCCTGCCATGGATGGGGAGGACCCATGGTCTCCATCTTGCTCTGCCATCCACTCGAGGTTCCCTGAATTCCCACAGCGTTCCAGGCTCCCAGAGGGATCAGACTTGGACTCCCCTGCTTGGGAAAGGCCCTTTCTCCTTCTCTGAGCCTCAGTTTCTCCTGTGGATAACGGGATAATAACAGCCCCCACCCCAGCCTCAAGACCGCTCTACCTGCGCATGATGATGATGATGATGGTGATGACCGTTAGTCCAGGTGGGCAGCAGCCGCAGCACTGCCTCTCCTCACCCCACCCCTACCTGGCTCAGCTCTGCCTCAGGTGATGTCCAGGCTTTCCTGGCAAGGGTAGAGCCGAACCACCCTGCCCACCTGCCTGCCCCAAGTCCCAGGGTCCTGAGCTGGGGCTGCAGCTGCCCAACTCTGATTTTCCTCCCTGTATCCAGTGCAGTGGGGACCAGCCAGGGTGGCCTGAAAGTGGGCACAGAACCACACAGCTCTCTGTGCATGCATGCACGCATTCTGGCAGAAGATCCCAGCTCTGCCAATCACTAGCTGTGTGACCTTGGGCAAGTCACACCACCTCTCTGAGTCTCATAATTGCCCCCTTGCCTGTGAAGTGTTAAGCCTGGGCTCAGTGTGCACTGTATCCCCACTTGAAGATGAGAAAACTTAGTCCCCAGGGCTGCAGAGCTTGTTGGTTTGTTTGTTTTGAGATGGAATCTCTGGGGAATCTCTGTTCCCCAGGCTGGAGTGCAGTGGTGAGATACCAGCTCACTGCAATCTCCGCCTCCCGGGTTCAAATGATTCTCCTGCCTCAGCCTCCTGAGTAGCTGGGATTATAGGTGCCTGCCACCACACCTGGCTAAGTTTCGTATTTTTGGTAGAGACGGGATTTCACCACGTTGGCCAGGCTGGTCTCAAACTCCTGACCTCAGGTGATCCGCCAGTCTTGGCCTCCCAAAACACTGGGATTACAGGCATGAGCCACTGCGCCTGGCCTAATTTTTTGTATTTTTAGTAGAGACAGGGTTTCACCAAGTTAGTCAGGCTGGTCTCAAACTCCTGACCTCAGGAGATCCGCCAGTCTTGGCCTCCCGAAGTACTGGGATTACAGGTGTGAGCCACTGCACCTGGCCTGCAGAGCGTGTTAAATGTCAAAACTCATGCTCTTTGGGTGACACCCAGGCCCCACAGTGGGACCCCATGGGAGCTCAGACCACCCATGCAGCAAGGGATTGGGTCTCCTGGGGTGGCTGCACCTCATTCCTGGAACCTGGGCCGGGTGCAGGGAGGGCTGCAGGTGGACCTGGAAGCTATGTGGGGAATGTGGGCTGGGCAGGGCACTCTGGAGAAGACATTTCACCTCCCTGCCGACCCTTCCAGTGGTAGACAGGATGGCTGCACAGACTGCCCTGTACATAGTTGCAGAAAGGGTCCAACAGCTGCCATCTCTGTCCCCACAGTGTATGGGCCCCTCAGTACTCTCCCCCAGGCCAAGGGGCTCCCAAGGACAGCTGGGGCTCAATGTGTGTCAAGCTCTGAGACAGGCAGGGAGAGGGGCTGTGCGGGAGCCGTGAGGGGGAGGAATTAGAGCCACAGGCTGCCCGGCTTAGGAGAGGGGAACCAGCCCCTTTCTAGGCTGGGGAGAGTGAGTTTCAGATCACAAAGTGGAGGGGCCCAGGCCCCACTGCCAGAGCTAGGATTGGAACCTGCTGGTGGGACACACTCTAGGAGAGGGTATGAATCTCTGGGTGTGCTTCTGGGGGTAAATTGTGGCTGTGATCCAGGTCTCTTGGGGTACCCTTCTGTGGCTATTTGGGTGGGTGTGCTTGGGTGTATGTGTATCTTGGGGAGACTGTAGCTTCAACTGAGGGTGTGGTGTTGATGAGTAGAGCAGATTTTTTTTTTAAGAGATAGTGGGGGTGGGCACAGTGGCTCACACCTGTAATCCCAGTACTTTGGGGGGCCAAGGAGGGCAGATCACAAGGTCAAGAGCTTGACCATGCTGGCAACATGGTGAAACACTAACTCTACTAAAAATACAAAAATTAGCTGGGCGTGGTGGTGCACACTTTTAGTCCCAGCTACTTGGGAGGCTGAGGCAGGAGAATTGCTGGAACCCGGGAGGCGGAGGTTCTGGTGACTGGAGATCACGCCATTGCAGTCCAGCCTGGGAAACAGAGCAAGACTCTGCCTCGAAAGAAAAAAAAAGACTAGACATAGAGTCAGGCCGGGCACGGTGGCTCACACCTGTAATCCCAACACTTTGGTAGGCGAAGGTGGGCGGATCACGAGGTCAGGAGTTCAAGACCAGCCTGACCAACATGGCAAAAACGCTTTTTCTACTAAAAATACAAAAATTAGCTGGGCGTGGTGGCACATGCCTGTAATCCCAGCTACTCAGGAGGCTGAGGCAGGAGAATCACTCCAGCCTGGGAGGTGGAGATTGCAGTGCGCCGAGATGGTGCCACTGCACTCTAGCCTGAGGAAAAAAAAAGAAGAAGAAGAGAGAGAGATAGGGTCTCAGGGTCTCACTGTATTGCCCAGGCTGGAGTGCAGGGGCACAATCAGGACTAGCTGCAGCCTCGATCCCAGGGCTCAGGTGATCTTCCCACCTCAGCCTCCCAAGTAGCCGGGATGACAGGCCCACACCACCTCAACCAACTGGTTTTAAAACAGTTTTTGTAGAGATAGGGACTTGCTATGTTGCCCGAGCTGGTCGCAAACTCCTGGGTTCAAGCAATCCTCCTGCCTCAGCCTCCCAAAGTGCTGGGATTCCAGGCAGCCACCGCACCAGGAGAGGCTGGATCTTATGGACATCCTGCCCCTGTGTGCAAGTCCA